CCCCAAGTCTCCATTCGTGCATAGGGGTGGTTGTGTCTCGATAGCTATAAGGGTGCGGGAGATATGAGGCTGAAAGTGGTTGAAAGTGGCTTTCTATTTCGAATGTTTTGTTCGAATTTGTTCGAATTAAATTCGAACATAAAATTCGAATATTGGTTCCATCATAGAACGATTGTAAACGTTCCAGAACCGTTAAAAATAGTTCGTTTGACTAAACGTAAAAATTCTCTAATTAGTCTGGAAACGGGGGACCTAATTCTTGCATTCTGTGAAAACGAGTAAGATTGGCCATAATGTAATTATCTTAATCTTCACTATCGTTACCTTTTGCCCAGCGAAGCGGGTCCTTGCAGCTAGTTGTTTAATAAAAGACTTCACAACTCTGTCTTTCAGGTAATAGTAACAAACTTACATTTGTTATCGTTCTACTCCGCATCTACTGCATCATTATTCAAAGATGTAGAAAAAGTTAAAATATAGTCTCACTAAATTAGATATCTTTTTATTTAGTACTCTGCCCTCAACCACTGTACAATACTTAACAACTCGCGAAATTCTAATAAACACGATACGATATTTCAAAGTACAAAAAGATTTCCTTGGACTTTCCTTGTCTGGTGGATATGAAAAGTTTATTGGGAAGACATGAGCAGATCAGTTAGCAAATCTGGATATAGGACTTGTTCGATTAACTGTTGCATTCATTATTCGACCAATGAATTTTTAATTACACCTAAAGCATTATTAGTCTTCACCATTCAAATTCGATGAATTTTCTGGCCAATGTACAGTACGTAAGAGGGAAAATAAGAATTCAAATAGCAAATTTGTTCAACACTTCGAATATTATACTTTTTATATTTCCTTAAGTCACTACAAACTGATCAGAAAATTTTTTAAAATTTATTCTGAACGTAAAAGCGAACAATTCTTTCATTAAAATATTGAACCAACAAAGATCTTGTTAAGATTTGATGTAGGCCTACTTTGAAGACAGGAACTAATAACAGAGACTTAAATAATAAGTGATTTTGTTTCTATTAAGATCTACACTGCCTACAAATAAAACTCGATAATCAGTGAAAATTATTTGTTTCTGCAATTAGTCCTAAATTCGAAACGAAGAACGATTTAAATTGTTCGATGTTTCTATGGAATTAAAAGCAATTACTTAGTTGCTAAAACCTTAAAAACTCAAGAATAAAATTTTAGTTTCATATATTGCTTGTAACATTAGCAATGTTACAAGCATTTTTACTTATAATTATTTTTCTTAAGTGTTGAGAGTAAGAGCAACAAGAATACTTATAATTTTCTGATGTAAGTTATATAACTGTTTTTGTCAGTTGTTTTTAGTTGTATGACAAAACAACAATTTTTATTTTAAAAGAATTTAATCGCTTTAAAAAAGTAAAAATTCTGTGGCCAGAACTTCAAATATAACAAATTTACTTAAGTTCTCAACAGTTCTTTCTATATAGACTCTAAAAGGCTGCATTTTAATTATGGTCATCTTGCATATATTGATTTGAATATCCGTTTATTCGAATTAAAAAAAAAAAACTCTTGTCTAATGTGTGAATGATGGTTTTAATGAAAAGAATTACCTGGTGTGAGAGTAAGAAAAGACCAGTTACTATAAGTGAAAACGAGAGAGACAGACATAAGTAGACTGGACAGTTCTAGTGTGGAAATGGACCTTATCTTATTTGTCTCATCTTTTGTCCTTTCGAATCCCCCATACATGTATATAAAGTATATAGATACATATACATATATTTATATACATACATAATCGTATATAAAATATGACATATTTGGAATAGAGTTAGTAGTCAAAAATAACGTAAATATAAATAATTCTTAAAATAGCCTTCATAACTACAGTACTGAAATCAATTAGTTATCATCATCATTATTAAGTTTATTATATGTTGCTACAAATTAAATTTCTATATAATATATATCAAGTTATAAGTATTTTTGCATTTTATTATTTAGCCTGCATAAAATTTTTCTAATTTTCATATTGCATATAATTTATTAAAAGTAATCATTTTAATACCTGAATCCCAGAACTTCTTGTATTGTAAGAAGCAACTTTGCGATTGAACCGTGTCCTGAAAACACGATTTTATTTCCTTCTACTCTCAATCCCACAAGTGCTGGAATCTAAAGATATTTAGAAATAAATTTATTTTTCATATCTGAATTTTTAGTTTATATAAATATAGGATATTGAATTGTTTTATACTTACTGGAACTACTGCAGCTCTAATAGTGAGATTTTTTGCACTGTTCTTCATAGTTAAATATTGCATATTTTGAATATTCTGCTCAATATAAATTTGTGCTGATTATAATTTTAAAAAATATAATTTCTAAAAATAAAAGATTATCTTTAGATAAGATAAACGAGTAAAATAAACACTCTGTCTTTAACCGATTTCGAGTAATTTGTATTAGCAGACAAATAATTAACAAAGATACTTTACTTTAACCAACTCTATATTTTTTATTACTTCCAAAATTCTCAAAAAACTCTCCAAATGCATTTCGCCGTTACAGGCTCATCGGTGGATCATCCAACAGCAAGTAACTTTTTCCATTTTATACAAATAAATCTTTTCTAGCATATGAGTATTTATACCGATATTCTGATTTAACAAATTTACACGTTCAGCAATACAAAAATACTTTACCACTCGTTTTTTAAACCAGTTTTCCATTTTATACGATATTTTTACAGAATTTCTATTAATTTTACAATTATAATTACTACAGTGTTGATACCAAGGTGACTCTTGTCGATAGTGGCTAATATGGAAAATGTTATTCAAAAATTATCTGGAATTAATGAAGAAAAGGCGATTTTAAGATCCAATATAAGTAAGGGTTTGGAAAAATATAAAGGTAAAAATGGTATTATACAGTAGAACCTCGATTATCGGGACCTCTATTATCCGGATTAAGGTGGTTGACTTCGAAGATTTTCTATTTCGATTTTAAAAATGTTCGAACCGTTTTAAATCCGAATTGGTTTGATTATAGAACGATTGTAAATGTTTCAGAAAATTGATCAAATTGAAAATAGTTCGTTTGACTGGACGTAAAAATTCTCTAATTAGTCTGGAAACGGGAGACCTATTTCTTGCATTCTGTAAAAACGGGTAAGATTGGCTATAATGTAATTATCTTAATCTTCACTATCGTTACTTTTTGCCCAGCGAAGCGGGTCCTTGCAACTAGTATAAAATAAAATCCAACAACGATTTGTGTTAGTTTCCCTACAGTAAAAAATAAATATGTGGTGCTATCTATTATGAGCTTTTGTTTAAAACAGTTCTTGTATTATTATAAAATGCAAAAGGTTTAATTTTAAGAATAGAAATGTGACATATATATATATATACTGTAAATGCTAATATGGAGTAAAATCTTCATCAATTCCAAAGGTACTCGATATATGACACATGATTACCCTCTATCCGTTCACTGCGTTGATCATTAACTACCAAAAGAGTAGCATTAATCCCCTAATATCAATCCCTGCTAAATTTCAGATATTTTCGACAAAGCTTCCTGGAGCAAGTAAATCTTGAAACACTAATATATTTAAAAATACTAAGAATTAGATGTTCAATGTATACATATGTGTTTTACAGAAAGTAATAAAATGATAATTAAAATCGGAAAAATTCAATAACAACAATTCATATTAAAAAAATTAAAGTTCGAAAATTGATTGAAAATTGAAAAGCTGATACAACTGAAAAAATGATTACTAAATTTGTGAATAGCATTTTTGAACTAATTAAAGAAAGACATTTTATGTTTTACAAATTAAATGATAAAACAATAAAGTAACAGTAATTAGAAGTTTAAATATATCAATATAGAAAAGTAAGTAATAAATATCGATAAGTGTCATAAAATCTATCGATATGAATTGAAATTATAATCTAATCTTCCTTTATATCTTTTCTAAATGTTTAATAAATTTAGGTTTCATTTTTATCAAATTTAAGTGTTTTTATGTTCTTTTTTTGGACGATTTTAATTTAATTGAGAAGGTTCTGGAAGAAAACAATCGACTTTCAGAGGGACTCGTATTGCATCTTCCTCTTACTCTGCAGTTGAGTTGCCAGTTACGTCACACAAACCTTCGTCGGAAGCAGTGTAACAGACATAGCAACTACAAGAGAGGGCGGTTAACGCCTGCATCTAGTGCCAAATTAATTAACATTTAATCAATAACAGTAGTAGTAATAAAGCCCGATATAATTTAACAATCGTTTGGTTTAGATAAAAATTGACATAATTTTTAAGCTGTACAATTTACAATAAGAAGCTATTGAAAGAAATANACTGGAACTACTGCTGCTCTAATAGTGAGATTTTTTGCACTGTTCTTCATAGTTAAATATTGCATATTTTGAATATTCTGCTCAATATAAATTTGTGCTGATTATAACTTTAAAAAATATAATTTCTAAAAATAAAAGATTATCTTTAGATAAGATAAACGAGTAAAATAAACACTCTGTCTTTAACCGATTTCGAGTAATTTGTATTAGCAGACAAATAATTAACAAAGATACTTTACTTTAACCAACTCTATATTTTTTATTACTTCCAAAATTCTCAAAAAACTCTCCAAATGCATTTCGCCGTTACAGGCTCATCGGTGGATCATCCAACAGCAAGTAACTTTTTCCATTTTATACAAATAAATCTTTTCTAGCATATGAGTATTTATACCGATATTCTGATTTAACAAATTTACACGTTCAGCAATACAAAAATACTTTACCACTCGTTTTTTAAACCAGTTTTCCATTTTATACGATATTTTTACAGAATTTCTATTAATTTTACAATTATAATTACTACAGTGTTGATACCAAGGTGACTCTTGTCGATAGTGGCTAATATGGAAAATGTTATTCAAAAATTATCTGGAATTAATGAAGAAAAGGCGATTTTAAGATCCAATATAAGTAAGGGTTTGGAAAAATATAAAGGTAAAAATGGTATTATACAGTAGAACCTCGATTATCGGGACCTCTATTATCCGGATTAAGGTGGTTGACTTCGAAGATTTTCTATTTCGATTTTAAAAATGTTCGAACCGTTTTAAATCCGAATTGGTTTGATTATAGAACGATTGTAAATGTTTCAGAAAATTGATCAAATTGAAAATAGTTCGTTTGACTGGACGTAAAAATTCTCTAATTAGTCTGGAAACGGGAGACCTATTTCTTGCATTCTGTAAAAACGGGTAAGATTGGCTATAATGTAATTATCTTAATCTTCACTATCGTTACTTTTTGCCCAGCGAAGCGGGTCCTTGCAACAAATATTTTTGTTAATTAGAAAAACAGTCTTTT